TAATTATATACAATCAAACAACATACGAAATGGGGCAGTCGGGCTCCTTTAAAATTCNCATTAACTCATGATTTAATAACCTAAAATTTTCCAAATGGGTGACGTTGGTGGGGAGAACTGGCGCTGCTTGTCATTGTAACACGTGCCATTGATAAGATCTCCCAACGGCGGCCACTGTAATTATTTTGCTCTATAAGATATGACATAGACAAAACCCCCCAAATGAGAACAGCACCGTCAGCGTCGATCCGCATAGCGAATATGGTAGTTGCTCATTTATCAGTTGGTGTCACTACTTTATATCCTCAAACCTTTGATCATGAACAATTACGATTTTCACTGTCGTAATAAAGTGCGTTTTTAATCATAACTGATTTCCTTATTAAATTAATGATTTGGAGAGAGGTCCCTTGAGGCCTTCATTTAGATGAACCACGTATGTGAAATATTAAATATTAATTATCTGTCTGCCATTCCAAATCGGTAGTGCATCTAAAATTAGAAGTCAAAAAGTGTCATTATAGCAAAAACTCAAAAATACTAGGAAAAAAAAATATCTTTGTATAGCCGAAACATAGACTATTGAAAAAGGGTCTTAGGCAACAGCTAGTTGTAGATCAAACGTTGTTAAATAAATTGTTCAAGTTAAAACAATCAGATTTTTAACAATAGCTAAAAAACTGTAAATTCTTTAAAAAAACGTTAAAGTGGAACATTTAGCTTGTAAAAAGACCTACAAGATGTCGCAAGAATTTATAAACTCGGATAATTTATTCATTCGCAAAGTTAAGAAAACCCTCCAAATAGGGAATTTCGTCAATTGTTAATAACTAACAATCCTTTTATTCAAATGTTGTCAAATCAAGAATAAATTGTGTGTTTTTATGGTGCCAATAAATGCTCCCAATTTCAATATAATCGTCTGTATAGTTTTCGCAAACAGTTAATTATTTATTAAAATGTATCTTTGTTGATAGGCTGTCAATTTTTTTGGCCACTTTAGAATGGTGACTGGAACCGGATTATCTTTTTTAATAGTTATATTATTAGGTATGATGTGTACTTTATCGATTTGTCAAAATTTTTTAAGAACTCCTTTGAGAAGCAGGTACGTTTGAATGTTATAAATAAATGGAACTTTCTTATTTTTCATCGTATAGGTATGTGACTAGGTTCATCGTAAAGCTGCAATTTTTCTACGAATTAAAGGAAAAAAGTGGCTCTAGATTATTTTGTTTTTAATTCACCGTCGTTTTATCAAAAAACAATATTCTTTTACTAAATCGGCACAGTCAATTGATCATTAAATTAGTTAATCTAATGAATGTGCAAATAGCCATGTTAACTTATCCAACTATTTCTGTGTATTGATTTTGAAAGTTTGTAAGAAAAGTAGTAACGTCTTTTCGTTCGAGGTGATAATTAACGTATAATGACGTCACCGGCCGTACTCAGCTGCTCGTTGGTTTCGGTCCCCAGCCCTTCAAATCGCATCGACAGAAAAAAAGATCACTATCTCATCAACTATACTTGTAAAAATATTGATTAGATATATTTTTAACCTTCGCAGAATTAGTCCAAGCAACTAATTTAACAATAAATAATTTTTGTAACAAATGACCGGTTTTTTTTGTATCTAACTGCAACCCGTGTACGATGAATATGTGTGTATATGTATGTGTCACGTGTATACAAACATACACACATACACACATACACGTAGACACATTGGAAACGGTAAATATGTGAACCACGAAGAGCAATACCTCTGAATAATGAAAAAAAGAACAAATGTAAATAATATAAATATGGAGAGTAATGTTCAAATATATATTCAAAAATTTCCAAAAGGATTATTTATTTTTATCATTGAGGCATTCTTTGTAGCTTATTTTTGATTTTTTAAAACGGGATCTGCAGATTTCTTTTCCACTGAAGTATCCATCAATGCTTCTGATTTTATTTAGATTTTATCAATAGATATGTTTCAGAGGTAGGTGAGTACGATAATATTGTTAATATTAAATAAATTAACGTATACAGTTAAAATAGTAAATTGGGTATAGGGAGAGTATTTCGTTAATCAGCTTACCTTGTATTCATAGAATGTTGTCCACCAAGGCTACAAAAAATTACTTGTACAAAGATGATTTTTTTCCACCACCAAAATAGCTATAGCGTTCAGTTTTTCACTATCCTATTACTTCAAACAACTTTTTTATCAAATGTACTTGTGTAACGTGTCGTAATACGTCATTTGTAACGTAAATATATAGTTTAAAAATTTTCGGATAATTGCACCTTCGGTTAAATGGTTTTCGGATATTTTAACTTTCGGTAAACTAGTTTTCGGTGAAGCGAATCTTCGGAAAAATAGGCTTTCTGTAATTTAAACCCACGGTAAAATGAATTTTCGGATTTATGGATATTCGCTTAAATGACTTTCGCCAAATTCAACTTTCGGTTAGATGGTTATCGGTTTATTACGCACGCGGAAAATTGATTTTTATCAAAATAACTCTCGGTTTTGTGATCTTCGGTTTTTTGGTTTTCGTTAATTGGAATCATCAGAAAAATGACCGGCACTCACTAATGCCTTGAATAATTCTTTTATTTTGCTCGTTGTAATTGTTTTACAAAGATGACATGTTTCACAACCGTTGTTACCAAAAATTTAATGCATTACCATTAAAAGATTAAATTAAAAATTATATTAAATAAATAAATAAAATTAAATCGACCTCATGGCACTCTCTACTATTTTAACAAGCAACAACTATTGAAGACGACAGATTACTAAGTATATTTGTCCTTGCAATATCGAAATAGCCGCACTTTCTCAAATTTTAACTTTATTTTATGACAAACATAAGCACTTTCAGTTACCTTTACCAGACATTAAATGTTAAGTACAAAAGAGAATTGAGCAAAAAGTGCAGAAAAGAAAAATGCTATAAAAAAAACCTTGTTTAGTACAATTTGTTAATCATAAAAAAAAATTCACAGTTTACGATTAAAATCTTGTTCAACATCATAAAATACGTCAGAATCACTCAACTAGCTTTAATGGCTTATTAGTTAACATGCTAAACTCCTAGCTGGAGATACTCTAGGAGTCGTGGGTTTGAATCTTGGCAAAAAGTATCGAGATTTTTATCCGAGTCTTTTTCAATGGGCTGAGTATCCAGGATGCCAAACAACCACTTTTACGATTTTTAAAACAAATAGTCGATTTTTATGGTGATGTCTGGACCTCCAGGGGCTTCCTTTTCGAAAAAAAGCCAACATCTGGCAAGCTCATTGGGTCGAGTCGCTGTCGGTTATAAAAAAATCGGTACAAGGAATTAAGATGGTGTATTAGAAATGAGTTTCCCATTAAACTTGATAGTAGTAAAGGTGTGCTTGAGCCAATCGCTGCACTCTGTCAATAGTACCCAGTAGCATAGATGAATGAGTTGTCTGAGGGGTAGTTTCCAAGGGGCTCGCACGAAAGACTCGTACACCGGGCAGTTTGGACAAAAAGAGTTGAACGCGAAAAAATCTTTGATAAAGCAGATAACAAAAAGAGTCCTAGAAATAAAATACCATACCATACCATAGCATACCATACACATGGGTGTCATTCAAAATCTTTCTCACCAGAAAAAATGTAATTGTTTATACTTTTCTTCTCCCCTATTTAGTCTACAATTTGATACTAAAAACTAACTAGGAAATGGGCGTTTTTAGATTACTTGTTTTGGTAAGTATTATTCAACAATTTTTANATATATAAATATATATACATATTATATTACGGTAATATTTTTAGATATTTTAAATGTGCTACGCAAAACTGTAAGGGTACAGCATTCAGAGAGGAACAAGGAACAATGATGCTTCGACGTAAGCACTCTGATCACTGTTTCAAGAATGGAGACCAAGAACAGATCGAACAAATGAAAATGTGGCTGAAGTTGCAATGTCAAACGACATGCACAAAATATTTCAAAATATTTCAGGATGAAGAAAGCATGTAATATATTAGACGTACTATTTATAAGCCGACATACCATATTGGAAATTTTTAATGATTGTAGAAAACGGCTGTTTTCAGCACTGTTCCTTGTATACATATAAGTGTAGTAAGCGCAAGGGACTGTACACTATGCTCGACACTAATATGTATATATATATATACATATAAGTGTAGTAAGCGCAAGGGACTGTACACTATGCTCGACACTATCATAATTTATATTTAACAACTAAAGTCAGAAAAGTGTATGCTGCAAGTGCTATTACATTGTATTTATACTTTCTGTTATTGGTATATAAACATCAATGTTTTCCTTTTGTTCTCTTTCCAATAACAGAGGGACCGTTTAGAGTGAGCAGTCAGAGCCGCTGCTGGCTGCAGCTAGAAGCAGCAAGCAACCGTCAGGAGGCAGCGGCTGGCTGCAGCCAACAGTGGCTAGCCGCAACCTCATCCTCGTGCGGCCTCACTATAAACGATCCCTCATCATCATTGCTTCAGTTGTATTATAATAATTTGAAACTAATGTAATGTTGTCACTGTATGTCATGCTAAAAACTCTTTAGTTTTTTTCTCTCCGATTTTGCATGGAACCGCTATTTCAAATACTTTTGTAAAAAATGGCATCGATATAAATAAATATGTATGATATAAACAAAATACTGTGCCACATACAACAGCGCGTGTTATGTATTTTGTTGTTTTTTTTTACTTTTCTTTTTTATACATTGTCAAAAATAAAAAAAAAAATAAGAACATACTATACATTTCTTTAAATTTTTTACATTTTAAATATACAAATTATGCAAAAACGAGTCCTCATATAATTATATACAATCAAACAACATACGAAATGGGGCAGTCGGGCTCCTTTAAAATTCTTTTTTTTTGCAAAATTGTAANTTTAATATACATACAATAAAATACTATGTTAATTTGGTAAAAAAAATCTTACAACTCTAAAGTAAAAAAAAAACTGCCATACCAATTGTAATATAAGTATATCACGACTAAGATAGCTGTAACAAAATTGTAGTGTAAATTATTAATGTGAAGAATAATATCAAAGAAACAAAGGATGCAGATGCGTCAGAGTTATTTTTTCTTTTTTTTTATTTACTCATTTTTTAATTTTCTTATAACAATCTTGATTTAACGGTCTCCGCACGAAAATGCGATGAGAGTGAGGAAAATGGTGGTAACGGAAATTAGGCCGCGATCACATGGGGCGGAAACAACCAGCGGAACGTCACAGCGGATTAGCGGAAGGATAAAAGAGTGCCCCTAATGCAACTTTCATGAGTTATACATTCCGCTTCCACTGGGAAAAATGTCCATCGTGCACATGGAGCAAAACAGAAAAGCGGCGTCATGAGAGCAGCCAATGAGGGCATAGCTTTTCAGCGTCAAACATTTGATGTTATGCATTTGATATAAATTACTAATGCTTACCTATGATAAATTATGATACACGCATTACTATCATAGCTATAATAATCCTCAGATATCTGAAAAATTTAATAATAGTCAAAGATTTAGGTTATTTCATTATTTAGTCAACTCCTGCCGTTACGCTCCGCTTTGTTACGCTCCATGTGAACGATGGACATTTTTACCAGCGGGAGCGGAACGCGTAACTCGTTAAAATGATGGTGAAAGAACTCTTTTCTCTTTCCACTGTGATGTTCTGCTGGTAAATTTCCGCCCCATGTAACCTCGGCCTTTAAGGCTGAATATGAAGGGTCACGTCTCTTGTTAATTGTATGTAGATATACTTTTCCAAGAGCGCGCGGTGGCTCGGTCGGCTAGGTCGTGGATTGGCACGCGGGAGACCGTAGTTCAATTCCCGGCCAGTGCGACATTGTTGGGCAAGTACCTCTGTGATTGTTCACATGTGCTTTTTCACCACGCAATGCTCCTCGAGGAGGGTTTAGGCGACCTTCTCGCAGCAAAAATTGCNTCTTTTTTCAGTTTTGAAAAGGCAGCTAAATTTATAATCTATAAGGGTATGAAGTCAACGATGAGAAGATGGAGAGCTGAAGTTTACCCAACGAATCCTTTATCGATGCAGAACTGGGCTCAGGATATCGATGAAGGAAAATATGACAACATATTCAAGGGTACTACAGAAGAAACAGTTTCAATTCAAATTATAGAAGATCAGGATGCAATTATACATATATTTTTTTACAATGAAGAGTTCATCAAAAGATATGGAAACTCTCGAGTATTAACTCACTTGTTCCTTGATGCAACATTTAAAATAACACCAGGCGTTAACGGAGCCAAGCAAGTATTCAACATCGTAGGAGTTGTCTCTGGACATGTAAGAGTTCATGATTTATTATTATTATGATATTCAATTTTCCTCCTAATTTTTGGAAACAGATTATACAGTAATGGGTAATTCTGAATTCTAAGGTTAAATTTAAAATACTTTAATATTAATTCTCCTATATGACTTCAAGTATTCCCCAATGAATGTTGGATTTTCAATATTTTTTTGTGGTAGTGTGCAGAAAGAAGGTGTGTTTGTGTGCAGTTTTTAGTGTGGATAACATTTTTAGCCTATTTGGTGTTTGCCAGCGGGCAGCCTAACCTCCGTATGCCCAGAAAAAGCTATGACCCCTGCATCTCCGCCAGAGGCTGTCACCCCCAGACCCTGCTCAGACTTAGTAATAAATATTCCTCATTAATACTGGTAGACTACAATATTACATTTCCTTACATAAGTCGCTGATGTATACCTACTTTTCCTCTCAAGGGTGGAGTAAATGTCTTAAGTTCCTTTACAAACAGATGAGGTCGTAAAAGTTTATTTCAGTTTACATTGGTATATCTATGTGTATTTGTCTCACTCACTTGTCCCCCGGATTCTCTCAACTAATTGTAATAAATCATAATTTACAACTATTTTGGTTTTCAAAAATTTGTAGTTTATTGTCAAAACAAACAGTTTTATACTTAATATATTACTTTCTGTTAGATAAGTGCTATCACCGCTGGTGGTATATCGGCCCAAGGGACGGTAAAGTTGTAAATTGGATGGCACTTACATGACAAATCCTATTTATGTTAGTTACCGATAGCGCAATTAAGTTGAAATGTCCCAAACAACGACTGAAGTAGGCAAAAACTTTTTTTATTAAATTTACTTTCTGTAAATTTTTTGTGATTAAATTTTTTTCCTTGTTGTTGTTATTATAATATTATATTAATTAAAGCATGTAATAAAGTTACACTCAGCATATAGGCATTGGTCACGAAAACATAGCATAGAAATATTATAGCCAGCCAAAAATATTTACTGATTATTGCTAAAATAGATGTTTTATTACAAAAATAATTAATTAGTAAATAAAATAATGATAAAGCTTTGTTCCAATAAATTATTTTTCAGTTTCGTTGATTTAAAAAAAAAATATAATAAATGTGTTCAAAATTGCAGTTTTTGCGGTTCTTTGTTTTACAATATTATCTGTTCGGAAACCTTAAAGATAACTAAAATTATTACAGAATTACTTATTTGGATCATAACAAATAACAAAATAAAAACAGTTAAGTCAGTTAAGTCTGATATATAAATATAAATGACAACATACGTTATTGGTATTTTGAAAATTAGATACTTTGTAGCTCAAAAAGTTGAATGTACCTTAAATAAATACATAAACAAAAAAATGAAGAAAATACGTAAGGAAGCTTCTAGCAAACACATTTACTGCAATTTTTTTCAGGATAGTTAAATAATGAGTATCGTGACCGCAGTACCACTCCCCGTAACCACCGCGTAAAGGGTAAAAAGCGATTGTTGGAAATTAGATTTTTAGATATTAGCATTCATCTACTAGCTAAATCAGTTTGGTTATGTGACTTATAAGCGTTAAAATAAAAATACAAATTCCTTATTTAATACTACATTTTTTTTTTATTTCTTAATATTTTCTTCTTCGTGTTCTTTATACAGTGAGCAGAAAAAAGAAAGCGCGGGAGAGAAAAGACAAAAGTGGTTAGCAAAGTTTACCTTGATGAATTAAAAAAATAGGGTGAACCGTATGATTGGCTCATAGGGTAACATATATTTGAAATGTGTAAAAAACATGAACTGTTTAAAATGAATAATATTGCTCTACGATATATAAATATATATACATATTATGTTACGGTAATATTTTTAGATATTTTAAATGTGCTACGCAAAACTGTAAGGGTACAGCATTCAGAGAGGAACAAGGACCAATGATGCTTCGACGTAAGCACTCTGACCACTGTTTCAAGAATGAAGACCAAGAACAGATCGAACAAATGAAAATGTGGCTGAAGTTGCAATGTCAAACGACATGCACAAAATATTTCAAAATATTTCAGGATGAAGAAAGCATGTAATATATTAGACGTACTATTTATAAGCCGACATACCATATTGGAAATTTTTAATGATTGTAGAAAACGGCTGTTTTCAGCACTGTTCCTTGTGTAAAATAGTACATTCAATCTTTAGGGCCCAAAGCCCATTGTACGGTTGTTGTACGTTTGTACCCGAGTGGCCATCACTATTTTTTCGCCTTTCTAGAAAAGTGCTTTGCATCTTTGGCAGACTTTGTGTTGACTTGTGGGGATGAACATTCTAGCTCTCCGAGCCCATAGTTTCTTCCTGCCGTTAAACGCAAAGTATGCCAAAAATGTCATTCGCAACTTGGGCACAAATTTACATAAAACGTGCCCGTAATTC